AATTTATCTTAGCATGTATACAGTTACATGTAAAAATCCCCCACTATCTAGTTGTCTTTACATTCACAAAACATACCTAAAAATATATTTTTAAATATTTCTATTGCCTAGACTTGATGGCAATGTGTAGATAAGGGACAACCTGGGGTTTTTTATGTGCATTACTATACAATGTACCAACCAAGCCTTAAAGTGATATTAAAGCCTCCTTTTTAAAAAAAAATGTCCTACAAGGAGACCCTTCTTTGCTGGAGGCTGTTGTTGTTTTCCTTTAAAAGCTGTTCCTCGTTTTTCCTTTAAAATTCCTGGTTTTCTAGTGGGTCCCCGCAGGAATCTTCCCCTCGCCCCCTGTACGGGTGCCACCATCGTTCTAATGGAGGCACCCGTGCGTGCTCCTGCTCGCAGTGGCTGTGTGCGTCCATAGACACACACAGCCCTCTGGCAGGCCACGCCCCTTCTCACTTTGATTGATGGCAAAAGGAGCCTATGGCTCCTCTGCCATCAGTATCCTCCCCCCGCAACCTGGAAGTTTGGGGAACGGAGGATTGGGTCAGGACTGGCGTCAGGGACGAGCGTAGCTGACAGGTAAGTGTGGGGGGGACTGGGGGAGAAAAAAGGTGCTGGGCCGTTTTTATCCTAATGCAGAGAATGCATTAAGATAAAAAAAGCCCAGACTTTAATACTACTTTAAGCGCTTTAACCTTTTCTTAGGACAAACACTGTGCACATCTAGTTCAAAGTAAAAGTTGTGCTGTGTGAACGGAAACATGTAACTAATATAAAGTAGGTATTATATCAATTTGGCTGCAAAAGCAGAAATACACTTTTTAGCAGTGCCTAATAGAGCTGCACTACTTGCTGTTTTCAGCGTGTGTTGGGCCACACCTTTGAATTTATAAACCCTTTCTGACAATGCAATTATGTAGGCATTGTAAATACACTGGAAGATAAAAGTCTGTTTTCTGAGACTGTATAAAATATAATTCAGTACATTAGCAGAGAATAGTTTACACATTATAGGTGACTATTAATCATGCCTGCGCTTGTGAAGGTTACATAGATGTGTAATTAGCCAGCCTGGGCACATTACTATTCACCTTCCACTTACCTTCTGTAATTATATTGAGGTTTAATTTCCCGGCCATCCGCATATGTACAACAATGAAATTTATCATAATAAGGGTGATTACATGTTATAACAAAATAATGAGTGATAATGTTTTGCAGGTGAAAAAGAAACAGGGTATATTTATTTTATAATGATTATAATTAGGGCCGGGCAATTAATAAAGATTGAGAGACTTTGCACCAGCCAAGTCACCCCTGTTCTTATGTGGCTGCTGCGGCTTATGTTTACACTGTACTGTCTTTAATGAATATTGTTTCTACTGAAAAGTTGTTTTTCCTTTAGGAGACCAAGATAAATTACAACAGTAATAGTAGATAATACTAATTATTTGGATGGTTAAGGTCTTGTTTTTGCTCACTTATGATTGGATGATGGAAGTCAGCAAAGCGTCCTTCAATCACTAACCTAAGGGAAAATTCCCTTGCAAAGTAAACAGCCTATTTGCCTTTAGTAGATCAACCCAATTGTTTTCTAAAGGGTGGCCAGTCTCAGTCCAGAAAAATTAACAGTTCTAATGAGTAAATTTTCAGGAATGACTAAATGTCTTTCATATTATCTGGAAGTCTGACTGAAATGAAATCTGCCACTGCCAGAAAACATGGTTGGCCAGTGACTACTGTAGGCACTTGTAGAAACAGGATCACCAGTCTATATTGCCAACACAACATGTATGAAAGAAAGACAGCTTAAAGGAGAAGTATATGGAGACTAAAATGTCCTCTTCCCAAAACTTAGAGCCGGCGTAGAACACTGCATCTGTCACACACCAGCTCTATAGATCGAGAACTGAGCAATCACAAATTGCTGTCAGGCACCATTTCCCACTGGGATTGCCCCCTCCCCTCTTTCTATTCCTCCAGTGCTCACTGGTGGGACAGACAGGGGAGGGGGAGAAAGGCAGAGCCAGCTGTCAATCAGCAGAGTGCATTCCAACAATATTATCTGGATCCTTCTTGGCTGCAGCGCGACTCTGCACTGTCAGCATATAGCGGGCAGTAGCCGGCTATATACTGAGTTTGGGTCACAGGCGGACATTAGTAAATCTACACCTTTTGGCCCAAAAGTGAACTAAAGACAAAGCTCTTTTAATCCCTTTTACATTTTGTTTAGATATCTTATCTGATGGTGATGGTCAGATTTGAATGCCTAAGGGGTCTATTCACTAAGCTGCCGAAGGATCTAGCCGTAGCTTCAGCTGATCTTTCGACTAACTTCGGCCCCAGGACCCCTTCGGTTTAGTAGAACCGAAGAGCTGCTGTACGGCTATTCACTATAGCCTGTACAGCTCCCGAAGTATGCCGAGCGGCTCAGTCAAACCGAAGGCATATGCCTCGGCTCCACTGAGCCGAGGTGAAAGCCATTGGCCGGCTGACAGCCTGCTTCTTACAGCTGGGCGGAGCCAGCCGTCATCTCACGACTGGCTCCGGCCACTTGCAGAGAGATCAGCGCCCCTGGTTACCAGGTAATCAGGGACGCCATCTGTCATTACACGCTATGATATCACAACGGCATATCCGGATTCTCAGTGTGTAATGACAGATGGCGTCCCTGGTTACCTGGTAACCAGGGACGCTGATCTGTCATTACTCTCCAGGACGCTCTGGGAGTCTAATACGGCTCCTGGCCGCCCAGGAGAGAAACACTTTCTCCTGGAAAGATTTACTATGCTCGCAAAACTTTCCTTGCAATCTGTTTTTTTTTTCTGACATGGGGCCGTTAGCCGCCCTCAGTCAGAAGAAAAGAAAAGCCAGCATAGGAATGCATAGCTAGATTCCTATTGGCTATTTCACTTTGCAATAGCCAATAGCAAACTAGCTATTGCACCCGCCCACTGCTTCTGTCAATCAGTTCTCCATCAGGTCCCCTTCTGGTGATTGACAGCAGCAGAGGGCGGGTGCAATAGCTAGTTTGCTATTGGCTATTGCAAAGTTAAATAGTCAATAGGAATCTAGCAATGCATTCCTATGGTGTTTTTTTATTTTTTATTATTCTGACGGCAGCAGAACCGCCCGGCCAATAGAAAACAGTTGGGCGGAGCTAGCTGTCACTGCTAGCTCCGCCCGATCATTTTCTACTTAATAAACTGTTTTTCTATTCTGCTCAGTACCACAGAGGTACCGGGCAGAATAGCCGAGCCGGCGGCATTCGGCTATTTATTCACTGCTGTTCGGCATCTATGAGAATAGGCCGAACAGCAGCGAGTAGCCTGCTGGAGGTTCCGCTCAGCCGATCCAGATGTTGGATCGGCTGAGTCGAACTCCTTCTGCACTTCGGGTCGGCCGAACATGCTGAGCATGTTTGGGCGACCCGACGCCAGCCGCAGCAGTATCCAACTGAATGCCCTCCATGTGAGGGACATAGGTTTGCTTTCCCCTTAGCATTAAGAGCAACCAGAAATCAGGTAAAGGTCTCAATGGAGTCAAGCATTTTCTCCACAAAAAATTAATTACTTTGTGAACCATTTACATGTTATCTCACATCCTTAGGAGTTGTAAGTAGAACATTTTATTTCCATTGCTTTATTACTGCAAGAAGCTCTCTCTCTCTCTCTGTCTCTCTCTCAGATTCTCCCAACCTCCATCTGTTTTATCTATTCTTCATCTATTTTTAGAGTGACCAACACAAATTATTTTTTTTATAAACTCTGAGATAGATTTGCAATATTATGTAGGCAGCTTGTAAACTACATTTATTTCTACTTAGGAAGCTACTATGAATTTGTAAAAGATTACTCACTTTTGGTTATTATTTGAGTGCCCATTACACAATATTATTCCTTTATATTTAATAAAATACTTAAATATATCTACCACAACTTTTGTGTTGATTGCTTGGCATAAAAGTTTCAAACAACAAGTTCTATCAGACCTTAAATATAAAGATATTCAGACATATAGTAAATTATACAGGCACTATGAATGTTAAGCTATTGTAAAAGACACACTGACATTAAAGTACAAAAACTATTTTTTAAGTAAGTCCTCTATTCCCTCAAGTGCTCTCCACATGAAATGATAAATTACAATACACATTTTAGATGCAGAATAAAATAGTTGTTTAGGGTGTCCAGTGCTAGACAAGGTTCTTGTAGTACCTGGTTCTAATATAGCAAGTACTGTATTCCAGCCAGAATGCATGAGCTGGATTTTGTTCTAGAGAATAATGGCCAGCCAAGGTTCATGGGTACAGGTTGGTCATTATCCTCTGTGGCCAGGTTCACATGTGCTGACGGGACAACAGGCTGCAGGAGTACTGGGCACTGCAAGATGGAAAACACTGGCTGGTGCTGGACAGCTGGGACAGCTAAAATATTTTGTGTAGGTACTTTATAATATAATTTACAGTTTACATCAGAGGGATAGAAGAATTAAAATCTAATTTCAGTCATCTTTTTTTATGTATATTACATTTTCTTTTGCAATACAATGTTTAAGATAATCAAACACAACACATATTATTAAATCAACATAATAAATCTATAGGAAGCCAAAGTAAAACCACAATGTATTAATGGGCATCACACATGACTTCTGGCAACTTGGACTGACCACAGTTTACCATTTCTCAGCCTCAAATATTAGTTGGTTTGGTCTGCGTTGCTAATAATGGTGGCAGACTGCATCATAAATGTAATTTGTGATTTTTACAGTTACACTTTAAACTTTATTTAATTATAAGTATACTTACTAGTCATGTCTTAATTTTATCCAATGGTTACTGTATTATGTGTTTACATTTTCATTCCACCTACACTCAAATTTTGGTTTATCCTAACAGATCTGTTTGAATTACTGACCATCACAAAACAATATGATCATCGACGTTAACTAGATATTATCTATTGACTTATGTTTTTGTAATTTTTTTTTAGGAGGAGGTTCCACAAGGTATGCTCACATAGACATTGCTGCAACTGAAACAGCTCATAAAGTGGGTTCCCAGCACGCTCAAGCCAGAGAAGAACGTCTTCAGGAGTTGGAGCAGAAGAAAAAAGGACCTCAGCAATGATCTGACACATATGAAGAGCAAATCTAGAGATTAAGGCCGAGGAACCTCAATGCTTTTTGCAGTAGAAGAAATGGTACTAAGAATTAGGTGCATAACTTTTGGTGGCTCATCAGCAATGTTGGGTCAACTGAGTTACAAACACTCCTTTTTAAACGTGTACTGAAACCTAACCTCAAGGGTATGTGGTTATCCTAGCACAACTTTTAGCAACTAAGGAATTTTGTGTGGTCTGTTGACACAGGGGTCATTCCAAAAGTGATATTCCTTCCTGGAAATTAGATAGTTTTGGTGGAAGTAAATGCCCTTTGAACCTGAGATGGAATTAGACAAAAATAATCAATAAAAACTTGTATTTTTTTTTCTGGAAAATGTCATTATAGTTTTATATGCACAGTTACTATAAATATTTATTGTTCCAGTCAACATGTAGTATTTAATTTTATTTGAATATCATTTTATACATGGAAGTTGTCTGCAGCATACCTCTTCAGTTGTATTGTCTTACACTCAAGACTTTTTTTTTTTTTAGGCAAAACATTAACAGTTTCAATTTTACTGTATTCATTAAATAATATCATCGGGCATTTATGTAAAGTATTGGTACATTTTTACAATTAACAGTTTTTTTGAACATTCATGACTTTGTATTATTTAAACACAGGAAGATACTTTAGGTTTTTCTATTGTTATGGTTTTGCATGTATGTAAATAGTATATAATTTGAAAGTGGAAGATGATATATTCTACTGTGGTATATATAGAATGTAATATTACAAACATTACACACATAGAAGTTTCTTGGCATAAATCTAAATGAGCGATGCCCATGAAATGTGTGCAATATTTTGCAATCGTTTGCAAGTGTTTTTTTTTTAAATTATTATTATTATTTTAATGCACCTTTAAAACTTGATACTTGCATTGCTACTTTTGTATGCATTGTATATATTTATATTCGATATATGCATTGCTACTTTTGTATGCATTGTATATATTTATATTCGATATATGCATTGCTACTTTTGTATGCATTGTATATATTTGTATTCGACATATGCATTGCTACTTTTGTATGCAGTGTATGTTATGTTGTAAGTACATCCATTATTTGGTGTTTTTGGCATTAAGCATTACTCAAGAGGAGAATTTAGCTGCTCCATTTTGGATAAATGTTTCAGAATAAACGTTTTAAAATGAATGAAACCTAAAATATATACCTAAATTTAAAATAAAATATGTTTTCTGCAAGCTGACATGTTTCCTCTAAGCCATTTGTGATATTCATTTTTTTTTCTTAATACTAATATAAAACAACCTGTCAGTGAAAGTAAACAAACATGGGAAGTAGGGATGCACCGATACCAAGTACCGTACTCGGTACAAGTACATGAACAGATACTTTTCCAGCTCCAAGACTAGACTAGAGAAAAACTCAAAAGTTAGGAGGCAGCTGTCATTTGTAAGGAGCACACAGAGCTCCTGGGATTTGTACATCTCTGTTTAATGTATGATTTTGTCTTTATAAATATATAAAGTGATGCACAGATACCATTTTTGCAAGTACAAGTACTGATACTTGTCCAAGTATTTACCGATACAAGTACTGATACATTTTTGTTTATTGTCATGTGACAGTTTTTCTAAAACAATACAGACTAATGATTTCAGGACAGTGGTGGAGCGCCAGAGCCAGGTCCCAGCTGCAATCGCTGCAACCCTGGTAGTTCTCATGAAAAGGCCAAGTATCGGCACTGGTATCTTAAAGTATCGGCGCATCCCTAATGGGAAGTAAACAAACCTAATGGTAATTGTTGTATTTTTTTATAGTAATTTTGCAATCAGCTCATGCTCTCTCAAACTCAGCAGGTGAGTGTGCCAGACCTCTGCAGTGAGATCACTGCTTCCCGAAGAGTTCAAGGGTCCCACTCTGCAGCTCTTGGCAGGAAAGGCTTTTCTACTTCAGCTATAGGTGTTGTGAAAGAACATTACTGTATTATGTTGAACACCTTTTGTTTTTGATGTGCTTGGAATGTACACTGTCTGGCCAAAAAAAGTCACATACTAATATTTCGTTGGACTGTTTTTAGCTTTGATTATGGCACGCATTCACCATGGCTTAGTTTTGATAAGCTCATGCAGTGTCACAACATTTATTTCTATCCATTAATTTTTCACCAAAATCTTATAGTGATGAAGGGAGATTTGGACGACTGCGTAAAGTCTTCTCCAGTCCATCCCAAAGATTCTCAATGGGATTAAGGTCTAGACTCTGTGGTGGCCAATCCATGTGTGAAAATAAAGTCTCATGCTGCCTGAACCACTCTTTCATAATCTGAGCCCAATGAGTCCTGGTATTGTCATCTTGGAATTTGCCCAATGTGCCACCAGGGAAGAAAAAATCCATTGATGGAAAAATCTGGTCATTCAGTATATTCAGGGAGGCAGCTGATCTAATTTTTTTGGGATATAAACTTGCTGAACCTAGACCTATTATCCAATAGCTGATTTAAACCATAATTTTAATAATTGCAAATTATTTTGTGGCATAAAGGTGTTATACAAATAGAAACATATGCAGGCTGTGTTTACCTAGATACACACACACACACACACACACACACACACACTTAGTGTTATTCTTGCCATGTTAAGCATGTCACCTGCAGTATGAATAATTTTTTTTATTGTTAGCAGAAGGATTAATCAACATTTCAGAGTTGTCCACCCACATCAACAGCAACCCACGAGTTGTTATTAAACCTGGCATTTCTAGAATAATAATGTTATTTTTGGTGTAAATTATGTATGTATTTTTTTCTTTTAATAAGCAGGCAGATGTTTTCTAGGCAGTTAAATATTCATACCCCGTAAGCCTCTGTAAGACTTTAAAATACATGAGAATTTTACAACCTATGCATACAATGGGGCACACAGGGAAATAGCAAAAGCGATGACGTATCAACACAATATGCTATTCTCTTGCTCATGGACTGCTTAATAATGTGTGGGGCCATTTATTTTCCTGGGCATTATGCTAAAGTGAATTTCCTATTTAGACTTGGCAAAGTCCAGTATTTCCTATGGGAGGTCTTTACTTCATGAAGAATTTTGCCCAATGTATTGTGATAAAACTGATAAACAATAAACCTGATGTACTAAAGGAGTACAGTAACAGTGAATTTTCACTTGGCTTTGTGAACGGGATGGGGTGCTAACTTCAATCATCCAATCATTTGGGGGGAAAATCCAATTATGACATCTTTCTTGCACATGACCTTTACAAAAATTAATGTTTTTGTTGTTTGACTTCATTTGATAAGATACATGAAAGAGAACATGCTCTACTCCTTTCTTAAATTAGCTCCACTGTATTTAAGGCATTATTGATGCAGAAAGATTGTACCGCTTGTCACTGCTTTCCCAAACTTTCATCGGGGTAGGGTTAGAGCCTCTGTCAGGTTTCTAATGCAGTCTGTGTCTCTATTGGGATAATGTTCCCTCATTTCCTGTCCTGACAGGGCATCATAGGGAATTTCTCAAATGGGGGCATAGACAAAACATAACCCATATTTCTTGTACAGTGATATTGTACAGTTATCACTGCCTTCTTGTCACTGTGACAATAGTTGTCCCCATTTCTTGTACAGGAATCACCAGAAGTAAAGCTGGCCATACACTGCTTAGATTTTCAAAAGAATGTTCGTAGGAAAGATCTTTCTTTCGACTTTCTATTAGTTGATGGGGTCAAATCGACGACCCTAGTGATGAAAAAACTTGAAGGAGCAGGATAGAAAATCTTTCTCGAACAAATTAAATTCTAACAGTGAATGCGGTTTTCATTCGGTAAAAACTCCATTCATACCAAAATCGAAACATTAAAATCAAAAGAAATTTTGCTTGATATTCGTCAAGTGTCTGATGGCATTATCGGGTGGTAAAAAAAGATCTTTCCTATGAACATTCATTCAGAAATCTACTTTGATTAGGCCAGCTTAAAGGAGAACTATGGGGTTAAGGCTTTTCCCCATAGTTCTCCTTAGGGTAACGGGAGGACACAAACTAGCGTCCTCCCGTCACCCTAAGCTCAGTATAGGGGCCGGCAATTGTGCTGGGCCCCCCAAGGCTAAGCCCCCTGCGCGGGTGCACCAGCGGTAGTTCTGCCACTGGGACTAGGAATAATTTTGGATTTTTCTTTAAAACTTCTGTAATCTGTCATGAGAGGACCTGTGACATAGGCTCAATGAGGAAAACATAAATTTAAGAGACAGCTCATTACTTGTCTATTTCCAGACATTATACAGACATCTATCTCCTTGAAACAATGGGGAATAGTTTGAGGAAATCGAAACGAAAAAAAAAATATATTTTTACATACACTGAGGAAAAAGGAATGTGTACGGAGAGTTTCATTACTTTAAACCCTTCTTGCTGTTTACAGACAATATAATAATGTAATCAATGTAAACATTTGTGATGTAAGTAATATCATATTAATACAATACAGCAGAATATGTCTATTAGCAAAAAAACAACTAATATAAATAAGATATTTATAATGAATATTGCGTTATAAAACACAAATACTTAAATTAGCAAATATTGGCATACCTCACAATACTAATAATACAACTGAAATTTTTGGTTGTAAAAATCCTCTCAAATAATAATACATTGTACTGTGTAATAGGTAATTTTCAATGTGAACTCTTCTTCATATCTTGAAAAGAGGAAAAAAAATATATGATGGTAAATAGTTATTTGTCCTTTGTTAAGCTCGAGACATGGCATCTCCTTTAATCTTACAGACTGGTACCAATGTCAGACTTTTATCTTGTTGTCTGGTCCAACTAGACTCCCCAAAATGTATTACCTGGGAATCTATGCTGTAAGGTCTGAGAATGGCTGATGTTATAATAGTTCTGACAGTATTAAGACAGGACTGTAAAACCCCTTCCCTTCCTTTTAGACTTATTGTTGGGAAGGAGGAAAAAGTACTGTATGGCAGAACAGAGCAGCAATTTTATTCATATATTTTACAGAGTGGTTATTTGGGCGCATTTGTTTTACTTGAAACCAATTTAAAAAGGGGCATTAAAAAAAGTTAACTTGTCGGACAGGCCTGAAGCCCATCTCCAGGCAAAGAAAAAAAACTTCCTTGCAGTGTGGTTACCCCTTCAATGCAAGGGTTAAGTGCTGTTTTTTTCTAGGGGACTCAAAAAAAGCTGTTTTAGTTACCTGATCCCTGCTCCCGCAGTGGTCATTTTTTCCCCCTTCAGCTTTAGATGTT